AAGGTGTGGAGATAGCCCAGGTGGGCCTGACTCAATCAGGTGAGCACTTTAAAAGCAGAGATATTCTCCAGTTGGTATAAGTCAGAGAGATTCAAAGAGTGAGAGGGATTTGATACACCATTGCTAGCTTCAAGACTGGAGATGGAGGGACCACATGATGAGGAATGCACACGATGAGCAGCCCTCGGCTGACAGCCAGCAATGAAACAGTGACCCCAGCCCTGCAGCCACAAGGAAATGAATTCTGCCAACAACAAGTAAGTTTTAAAGAGAGCCCTGAGCCCCAGATGAGAACCATAGTCCCAGTCAATACCTCGATTTCAGCTTAGTGAAACCTTGAGCAGAGAATCCAGCTACACTGTCCTAGGTTCTGACCTACAGAACTGTGAGATAATAAATGAGCATAGTTATAAGCTGCTAAGTTTGTGATAATTATACAACAATAAAAAACAAATACAAACAAGTTTCCAATTCTATGGAGATGGATGTCGGTGGTCAGACTGCTCTCTGTGGATCTAAAAGTTTCCACTGAGCTTTACAAGAAGTGAGTGTTGGCTGTGATTCAACATCTTGGAGGAGTTGTGGGTTGAGGAGGTCCATGCCCATCCACAAATGAAACAGTATTTGGTGAGGGAGGAAATGTTCTCTAGTGTCTAGAATGCTGGACAGGAAGTATGAAGTCTTGTTTCTGGTCCCAGCTCTGCTACTGCCTCATTGCATGATTCTGGGCAAGTCATTTTCAATCTCTGAACCACAGTTCTTTCATCTGTAAGATGGGGATAGCTATCGCCCCCCTATCCATTTCACAGGGTTATAAATGAAGTTCAAGGAAGATAATGGTTCCAACATGCTGTATGAATTCTGACAACTCTGGAGGAATATAAGGGATTCCTCAATCACCAAGGGAGCTTTGGGAAGAGAGCTGCCAAGTTAAGAGACTAATAAAATTCAGGTGACTGGGCAGAACTCCAAGGGTTTCAGATCACAGCTGTTCCTTCCCTACCGAGAAAAGTGCCGCTTTGCCTGTGGCTCCCTGGAAGAATAATCATCATCATAAAAATAATGTCTTGTGTTTCAATAGCACTTTTCAAAGTATTTTCCCTGTATCGTTTTATTTAATTCCAATAGTTTGCATCAGTAAAAGGAAAAGAACAGACTAAGAGTCTTTCTACTTCTGAAAGTTTTGGTTTCTCACCCTGAAGTAGGACAAGTCTCACCCATTATACAGAGGAGGAAGACCGAGGCTTAGCAGGGCTGGTGACTTGCCAAGGTTATAAAGTTGGTCAATGAAAGAGCAAAGGCTCTCTTTCCCAGTCTAGGCCTAATTCCAGCTCCCTGCTCTGGCTATGGAGCTGGGAAAATGCAGAGTTCTTGAATAGAAACTCAACTTCCCCTGTACTAGGGAACCGAACTGAACTGAAGGTGGAGTGGGGGTTGCCTCACACTCAAGTTCCCATCTTATGCATCAGATGTAAATGAAGCATTGGAATCAGATCACTTTTGAAGAGGCTGTTCCCCTCAGCCCTCCAGTTATTCCACTGAGGACACTTGCTGGCTGTTAAGCAGCAGAATCTTTCTTTGGTGCCTTCATTAAGTAGGTAGGGATATGGGGAATACTGTGCAGGGCAAGTTGCACTCAATATCCAGCAGATAAATATTAATTAAACCAGAGGAGAGAAGACATTGCCTTAGGCCTCAAACTTTCTTGGGAAGCCTTTGAGCTTCACTAGGAGATCCCAAATTTGGGATAACTTAGCAGGGTCTCTCAGTTCTGTAATGTTGGAAAAGGAGGCAGCTATCCTGAACATTTGGCTTGAGGCCATAACTCCAGACACCCTGGGCCAAAGGCAGCTTGGGATTGTCCTGATCCTGACAACTATTCCTGGTCTCTAGAAACCAATGTGAATAGAGCCACAGGGTTATGAGAGAAGGGGCATTTATGCATTCACTTGTTATTGAGGGCCTATTCTGTACTGAGGTCCCTGAGTAGTGCTCGGCTACTAACCAAAAGGTTGGCAGTTCACATCCACCCAATGGTGCCACGAAAGATCTACTTCCTTAAGATTCCAAAAGCCAAATCCATTGCCTTCAAGTCAATTCCAGCTTACAGTGACCCTATAGGACAGAGTAGAACTGCCCCATAGGGTATCCAAGGAGCAGCTGGTGGATTTGAACTGCTGACCTTTTGGTTAGCAGCTGAGCTCTTAATCACTATGTCACCAGGGCTCCTCCTTAAGATCATAACTATTGAAAACCCAACAGAGTGCAGTTCTGCTCTGACACACATGGGGTCACCGTAAGTGGAAAATCAACTTGATGGCAACTGTTTTTCTCTGTGCTGGGCACCAAAGATACAATGTTGCTCAAAAATAACTAAAAGGTTCCTTCAGTCTTGCAGAACTTATCGTCTAAGAAAAAACACAGTCAAACAATCAAACAGATGTCAGATTTCAGTTGTGGCAAGAGCTGCTAAAGGCTCTGAGAGTCTCATGTTTGGGTGCTGGAAAAGTGATGCCTGGGATGAGATTTAGAGTATGCATTAGGGTTGATGAGTTGATCAGGGAAAAGAGCAGCAAGTGATAAGGAAGGGAGCTTTATGGAAATGAAGGACAAAGGCAGTCCAGCCGACTGGAGTACAGAAAGCATGCTGCGGGACGGCATTGGCAAGAGAGCAGGGGCCAGACCACACAGAACCTTGAGGGTCATCAAGGAGTTTAAATTTTAGTCTAAATGTAAGAGGAAGGTTTCATACGTTTTAATCAGAGAAGCATCATGATGCAATTAATGTTTCTATTTTTAAAATATTACTCAAGCTGCCTTGCAGAAAACAGGTTAGGCCGGGGAGCAGGTGGGTGGGGGGCAGAATGGAAGCAGGGAGTTCAGTTAGGATGCGATTGCAGTTACCCACTGTTGGGAAAGGAGCAGCAGATTCTGCTGGGGGCCAGGACACATGCATTAGCCACTTCCTAAGGTTTAAAGAGCACTGGATTGATATCCAAATACTGGAGTGATGTTGAATCCAGTTGTGTACTAGCCTTATGATTTTGAGGGAGTGATTTTGCCTCTACTGTTTCAGTTCATTTGATTTTCCCATAGAAGCCATACACTTTGGCCTACCTACTTATGATTTCAAATCACAGAATCTCAGAGATGGGAGGATTGTGAGAGGAAGCAGCCGGTCTCTGGCCTCACATGATGCTCAACCCCTCCTCTGTCTTGTACACTCTATCTTGCAAATGTGTCCCCAGCACTTGGTACCTTGGAGGGGGTGGGCAACAGTCAGCACCAAGCACAACATCTCTGTAAATGGTTCACCACTTGAACACCTTCGGAGATGGGGACATTCACTCTCACCCCAGGAAAGCCAGCTCATTGTTGCACCACTCTCTGTCCATCAAAAATATCATCCTCATATTTAGTTAGTGTTTGTTTCCTGGAACTTCTGCCAAAAGTTCCTAAATCAAGTCATGCAATGTGAGTCTCATGTCAACCGTTTAATGGACACATCCCTCCAAGTCTTTCTTTCCAGATAAATGTCCCCTCTTCCTGCAGCTGTTCTTCAGGTGACAGAGCTTTGCTCTACTCTCCTGGTCCCGCTCCTTTGAACTTACTTCCTCTGTCTTATTTCCCTCAATGTGAAGCATCTAGGAACATTTTTTTCCACATAGAGAGCAATGTCAAATATTTGTTGGATTTCTTGGAGTGAATACTGTCTCCCTAGAGTGAAGAGGAATCTCCATGGAGCAGAGATAGGGTGGGGTTCACAGGAATGCAGGGATAATACAGTTGGGGTCCACGAGGGTTTTGAAAACACTGTGAAACAATTGAGTAATGCCTCGGTAGGCCTGGACTCTCTCCTGAGTCACAGTGTGACTTGAGACTTAAATTTATCTGTAAAACTCACTGGTTGGATTGGTGATTTCTTTGGTTGTTAAGTATTAGCTTCTAGTTAAGCACTGTCACCTGATGAAGGCTTTGAGCCTGAAGCTGTCAGAGCACATGTTACAAAGCTTAAAGGGACACTTCGACCCAGGATGACACTTCCTTGATGAATGGAAGAGGATAGAAAGAAAACAGCTTTATCATCATGTGATTCAATATTAGGTGATGTCATGTCTATCTGCCACATAATATCACCCCATGGAACACCAAAATCATCTTGTGGTATATGGGGAGGCCCTGGACTTGGAACTCTCCGATCCAAATCAGAGAGATCACGGTGAACTGTTGGTTAGAGTTTGTTTGGGGCATAAAAGAGGAGAATCAGACTCTGAGAAGTTCAAAGATAAATTTCTCACCTCATGTGTGATCATTGTATTTGCCACTTTGATCCAAAACAAAATATCCTTTCTCTTTGTTTCAGCCAAATCCTCTTTCTCTGTGACAGAGGGAGAATTGCACCTGTGCCCAAATGCGATGTTCCCCAAAGTGGCTGGAATATAGTTGCTCTCACTCTATTTCCAAAATAGTCTCCCTTTCTTCCTTCTAATTCATCATTTTGATGACCTTTGCCAGCCAAGAGAGCAATAATGAGAAGGCAGCCTGAAGATATTTTGGGACATGATAAAACATGTACATCATGTGCATAAATGCATTTGTATTCATGTGTGTGTGTACAAAGATTTGATGTGTATGGAATTGCATTTTAAAGGATATGTTTATGTGTGTATATAACTTTGTAGGCAAATGTTTACAATATCTGTATGTTTGTTGGCATGTGTCTCAATGTGTATGTTTGTGTAAAAGTGAGTGTGAATATGTGACTGCGGGCTTTATCACTCCTGAAGGGCAGCGACCCCACGGATCCTTATCCGTGATGAGGAACAAAATGCAGAAGCGAATCTCTCTGACATTTGAATTCTTGCATCTTGCTGATAGAGGAGAAGGGTGCAATAGGACTTGACAGCTCTGCTGATGGGGTTCCGGCTGGCTCTCGCCCCTCCCCATATCTCCTGCAGGTGATGTCCGAGCTACTGATGCCTCTTCCCTTTGGCCTGCAGGTCCCTATCCGGCCGAATCGTTGGTGGCGTCTGGTGGTTCTTCACCTTGATCATCATCTCTTCATACACAGCCAACCTGGCCGCCTTCCTGACCGTGGAGAGGATGGTGTCTCCCATCGAGAGTGCAGAGGACCTAGCAAAGCAGACGGAAATTGCCTATGGGACACTGGAAGCAGGATCCACTAAGGAGTTCTTCAGGGTAGGGACATCCCTTGTCCAGACATTTTCACAGAAGGGAGCCAACATTGTCATCACAGGCAGCCAGGGCAACTGCTTAACTGAATTCAAAGTAGGGAAACTCAGAACATGTCTCAGTTGTCTACAGAACTTTGGGAAATCTACATGTCTGCTTTTGTAGAACCTTCAAGGAGTCTTTGGGTAGTACAAACAGTTAATACACGTGGCCGCTAACCAAAAGGTTGGAAGTTGTTCAAGTCCACCCAGAGGCACCTGGGAAGAAAGGTCTGGTGATCTACTTTTGAAAAATGAGCCATTGTAAAGCCTATGGAGCACAGTTCTGCTCTGACACACATGGAGTTGCTATCAGTTGGAATTGACACGATGGCATCTGGTGGTGGTGGTGGTAGTGGTAGAAGCTTCAAAGTTCTGCACTGATGTAGAACTCTTGTGTATGCCATGTTATGCCAAGTTCTCTGAGGACTGCAAACAATATCAGATACATTTCCATCTCTGCTCCCACAAGCGACTTACATTCTAGTTAGTAATCGATTAGTCACAGCAAACCTGATGCCTTTTGGGTCCCCTCCTATCTAACAGCAGGAGCTCAGTGAATGCTGACTTGCTTGATGAGGAGCTACTATCTGGGGGAAAGAAAAAAAAAACTGTAATAGGAGGTCTATTCAATAATGCCAAGAGAGAGAGAAAATGTGGAGTGGGTATAGCTGGAGGCAGTGAGCAAAGTCAGAGAAGCAGAGGGCTTAGGAGCACAAGCTATAGTGTTAGCCAGATCTGGGTCCAGAACTTGGCTCCATCCATTACTTGTTCTGTGGCACTTAGCCTCTTTGACACCATCTCCCCATCTATAAATGAGGAAAATACTGTCTGTCTCAAAGAGTTGTTATGAAATTACAGGAGATAATGTGTCTAAGATACAAGAGAAGACAAAGAACAATGAATGGTATCTCCATTTACCATTAGGTTTTCAGGAAGAAGCAGGCATTTGGGAGTCATCTTGAAAAGAGGTAGGAGTTGCAGCCACACAGGGTAGACCTGAAAACATTTCTGGGCATCAAAAAACCTGGTTCACCCTGGGTAAGCTGAATACATTCTAGGCAAAAGGCACAACTTAAACAAATGCCCAGAAGCAGGAAAGCCTGGGGAGTAGACCCCACTGTACTACAGTTTCTTGATTATAGGCTGTGTGTTCTGAATGACAGGCAGGAAAGGGAGCAAAGTCATCACCACCACTGATCCAGGCTCCAGAGCCAAAACCATCCATTTTCAACATTCTGGAGCAAGAAGGAGCCTTAGAGGTCACCTGGACTGTGCCTGTTGTCTTAGAGAGGGGAATACTTGCTTGAGATCATCCAGCCAGTTAGGAGAAAAACTGCTTGTAATCTCATTACAATTCCTTGACACTTTTAGCCTGCAAGTCACGTGTGAAGGAGGTGCCTGATATTTGTCCATGAAGCCAGTCCTATGCCCCATCCCAAGCAGAGCAGTTGGGAACCACCTGATCCACTTAGCACGCTCTCATCCCCTTATCTGTGCACCACAGGTTTGCAGTCCCCAAAGCACATTCATAGCCATGGTCTCATGTATGCTTCACCTGTGACCTAAGGCCAAACAGGGGTTATGGAGTCTACTTTGTGGGTAAGAAATTGAAATTCAAGTTATTCATGATGTAAGTGTCACCAGTGGGTACAAAATCTGAGTTTCCTGGTTCCAACTCAAGTATCTTGCCACTTAACCACACTGTCTTAATGGGGTAGTGTCATTAAATGATAATGTCTGAGTTAGACTCTCTGCTTCCCAAAGGCTATGTATGGCATTATAGCAGGAGTCTCCAAAGCCCTCACAAGCTCAGGGCTCTATCTCCCGGGGCAGGATTTAAGGTCATTCCCATCCCACCCCACCTGACATCTGCTCTGTGAAGGCTCAGCTCATCTGGACATAGGCTATTGGAGAGGAGAGGGTCTTCCACTAGAAAGGCAAGCTCAGAAAGGTGTGGGGGAGCATCTGTATCATTCACCCTGACCTCAGGCCCAGCCTAGCCTTTCTTAAATGTTTGCAAACTTGAGTTTTTGCTTCTTGCCTCTAAGTATCTGATTCCACCACACAGTCACTATTAATAAGCATATTTTCTCATATTTTGAGTCCCTGAGTCGTACAAAGAGTTAACACATTCAGCTGCTAACTGAAAGGTTAGCAGTTCAGGTCCAGCCAGACGTGCCTCTGAGAAAGGCCTGTTGATCGACTTCCGAAAAATCAGCCATTGAAACCCTACAGAGCACGGTTCTACTCTGACACACATGGACTCTCCATGAGTTGGAGTCAACTCAACGGCAAACGTTTTTGTTGGTGGTGGTGTTTTCTCATATTTGGACTTAAACTGAACTTCTCATCAGGCAACAATCCTCTGTCTTCTAAGACTATATATTTTTCTTTGTTTACCTTTTATCCAGTTATTTATAAGAAATAGTCATCTCCTCCTCTACTTCCCAGCTTCTACTACCAATCCACTACCTTCTGTTCAGTATCATGCCAATTTAGTTCTCACTGCCCCCCTTTACAGGCTTTATTGCCTAATCTTACATCATTTTGTTTAACCTTTCTACACTACAGATAGAACTTCAGACTACATCCTATAAGGCAGAATCTTTAACTCCTTTTCTCTTTTGGTAGCAAAAAGCCCATCTACCAGAGTCTTGTTCTCGTTGCCTTTGTGGAATCAGAATTCTACACTTCCCAAGCTAGATGGACCCGAGGACAAATCTAATCTAATCCTGCTGTTTTAGAGTTGGGGAAGCTGAGGCTCAGAGAAGAAAATGGGCATGCCTAGCTAATTAGAGGCACAAATGGGACTTAAAATTTCAAAGTTCTCCATGAATAACTATGTCCACAGCACAAAGTTGGGAATCTGGAACCAGGGCAGTCAGTATTCTACAAATTCCGTGCCCTAACAAGGCCTACTATATAGGCAGCAAATAAGTTACAGTTCATGTGCTAACTTTATTTCACTGGTAGTGGCTGCCTGGAGTTCTGTGTTGAGAAGGATTCTGAGGTCACATCTGACCTTAATGAAAAAGAATATCTTGATTGATATTAATGTCTGCCATAGATATAGGAAGGGGAGATTGGCATCAAGCAAGCCATGTATTTGGCACTTCTACCCTAAAGTAGGTTAAGCACTCAGCTGCTAACCAAAAAGTTGGCAGTTCGAACCCACCAAGCGCCTCTGTGGGAGAAAGATCTGACAATCTGCTCCCATAAAGATTGTTGTTGTTATTGATGTGTGCTGCTGAGTTGATTCTGACTCATAGTGACCCGATAGGACAGAGTAGGACTGCCACATACGGTTTTCTACGCTGTAATCTTTAAGCAAGCAGACTGCTAGGTCTTTTATCCTGTGTAGCTGCTGGTGGGTTAGAACTGCCAACCTTTTGGTTAGCAGCCAAGTGCTTTAACCATTGCACCCCCAGGACTCTTTCCTGTAAAGATTACAGCCTAGAAAATCCAACGAGGCAGTCCTACTTTGTTACATGGGATTGCTAAGAGTCTAAATCGTTAGGACGGCCATAACAACAACAGTAACCCTAAAGTAAAACCTGAAGAAAGGGCATCATTATTGATAGTAACCGCACCATTTCTGGAATGCCAGGCACCGGGCTATGCATTTAACCTGTGTTCTCTTCACAGCAATACTGTGCAGTGGGTGCTATGATCCCCATTGCCGGGAGAAGAACACTAAGGCTCAGAAAGGTTACGTTACTTGCCTGAAGTCCCACAGCTAGTGAGTTATAAAGATTAAAATGAGGGAGGCAGCTGGTTGTAGTAGAAAGGTACCAAGTGTGGAGTCAGGAGACCCAAGTTTTACTCCTGGCCTTGCCACTAACAAGCTACACGACACTGGGCAGTTCATTACCACCTTGCAGTCTGCAGTTTCTTTACCTGTAAAAAGAGAGTATTGATAAGATAGGTTCCATGAGCCCTTCCATCTCTGTGACTCTGTCCTTGAGAATGACCCCATCAGGACTTTGGTGGGTGGAGAGACAAGGTCACCTACCACCCCCGTAAGGCAGGAGGAGGAAATGGTAAGATGAAAAATTCTTCTAGCTCAGTTTCTGAAAAATCTGGCTTTAGGTCCCCATAGCAGCCCAGAGCATTTTGGCAGCCCCAACACAGAGTTGCTGAATCCTCCATCAACAGTTTAATTAAGATGTGAGACGGGCTGTGGGAGATGCAGATGATAGGAGAAATCTAAGAACAAATACCCTGAGAATGCTTCCAATTTTGCCTGCCACTCATCCTCCCTTTGCATTCCTGGAGATTAGATTGTCCTGATCATGTGCTCTAAACCGCCACGAGCACAGCCTGGGTGTTCTGGGCACTGGGGTGAGACTGAGAGGACGTATTAATTTTCTGCATTCCACTGCCCAGGGGCTCTTCAGCTCTGCCTGTCAGCAGCCCGGGCCCCTGTGGTGTCCATCCTGTCAGGTCAAATTGGGTCTTGCAATTGCCCTGCTGTGTGTTTTGTTGCTTTTGTGCGTAGGAGATCATTTGCAAATCTGGTCACAGCTGAATTTGTACATTGTAGGTGCTATGATTGGTTCTGGGTACTTTCTTCCCTAACCTTGGACTCTTCTCTCCCTTTTCTCCGTTCTTTCTGTTGTTGCTTGAATGGTTTATCCTCATGTAAAGAATTGCATATTTCAAGCTAGCAGGGGCCTTTAAAATCACCATGCTGAAATTCCTTATGGCACAGAGAGGAAAACTGAGGTCCGGAGAGAAAGAAGTTTCCAGACTCCAAACCATGAGTTAGAAGTAGAGCTAAGACTGAAATCCAGGGCTTCTCACTCTCAATCCAGTATCCTTTCCAAATTATAAACTATATAACAAATGATCTAGTTTATCTAATTATAAACTTTTAAAATTAATTAAGACTCACTCTACCCAATATCTTCCTGAAATTCTCAGTAACTATTTTCATTAATTTTCCCTGGAGACCTAGAATTTTCCTGGGCTCCAAATATCTCTACAGATCAGTTGATTCAAACAACAACTTAATTGCACATCAATATCTTCCCAATACTTGAGGCTGATATCAAGGAAATTTAACTGACACTTGTGTGCAGAGAAAAATTATATATGATAATAACTTCATATCAAATAGATCTATAATTTCTATATAAACTACTAGTTTATATAGATCATAGGAGCCCTGGTGGCACAACAGTTAAGCACTCAGCTGCTAACCAAAATGTTGGAGGTTCGAACCTACCCAGCCAGTCCATGGGAGAAAGACCTGCTGATCTGTTCCCGTGTATATTACAGCCTGAAAACCCTATGGGGGCAGTTCTACTCTGTCACATGGGGTCGCTATGAGTCAAACTCAACTCGATGGCACCTAACAACAACAACATGACTCTAATAGTAATTGTCTTTAAAACAATAGTCCCTCATATGTATTTTATACTTGTCAATTTACATTTTCAAAAGTCAAACTTAGGTATTCCCAAAATATATACACCCCTTGGAGAAATCAGATTCTTTGGAAACAGCATGTTAGATGAGAGGGTTGAATTGTGGTCCTGGACTAAGGGCCTACTATGTGCAAGGTACTTGATAGATTCAGTTAAGGACCTGGAGACAGCCCCCATCCCCAGGTAACTTCCAAATCCTTAAGACTTCCACACAAGAAGGGATGACTTGCAATCCTAGCAGTCTAGCCTGGCCATCCAGTGAGTAACCCAGATAATATATAGGAATATCAGCCCTCACAATACTGTTTCTCAAAGTAAGGGCCACACAGGCCATCTAGATCACAATTGCCTGGGGAACCTCTGGAAAAGATTGATTCTAGGCCCTATCCCAGACCTGTTGAATCAGAATCTCCAAAATCGGAGCCAGAGAATCTGCATTTTTATAATCTCTGTACATAATTCTGGTGCCCGCTAAAACTTGAGAATCATTGCCCTTGGAACTTTGGTGGTCTCAGAATACACAGGATTTGTTCTGGTAGGATTTGGCCAGACTGAAACAGCACATCAAGGGACGTAAACAGACTAAGCAAAGTCCCACAGGAAGGAAGGCCCAAGGTGAGTTCAGGAGGAAATAAGGAAAGCAGTTTGGCTAGATTTGGAGGCTTTCGAAAAGTTAACAGTTGGCAATATTTGGGCCCAAGTTAGCAGCATTATCAGACAATAATCTGAGGTCTGGTCTTACAATCTGGGATGACTGGACCTTAGTGCTCATGATGCAGAAATTCTACAGTATTGTCTTCCAATACTGAAATCAGATGTCACTGGTATTCAGCTCTCCACTCTTCTGGGCTGTATAAATATGGTCTTACAGAACAATAGAAAGGCTCCTTAATATCTTTAAAAGACAGACAAGGCCCCAGTTTCCTAACTCCCCCCCCATATTTAGGATAAATGTAATTACTTGGCAGTAATTAAAAGATTCTGAGTGATCCTGTTCATTCTGTATTTGCAAGATATTTGTACTTTGGAACCTACTGGTACTAATTAGAGCCTCTTATTTTGCAATCACTCAAAATTTGTTTCTTCCTGAGCTAATCTTACTCATATATGTGTGATCAAGCTACACTCAGCTCTTCATTAGTGTGTGTGCTGACCCCAATGCCAAGCGCAGCCAGCACTGAATTCCGGCTTTGTTTATGTCCCCTGTCAGAGGTCTAAAATTGCTGTGTTTGAGAAGATGTGGACATACATGAAGTCAGCAGAACCATCAGTTTTTGTGCGGACCACAGAAGAGGGGATGATCCGAGTGAGGAAATCCAAGGGAAAGTATGCCTACCTCCTGGAATCTACCATGAATGAGTATATTGAGCAGCGGAAACCCTGTGACACCATGAAGGTGGGAGGTAACTTGGATTCCAAAGGCTATGGCATTGCGACACCCAAGGGGTCCGCCCTGAGGTAAGTAGCCAAGATTTGCTTCCTTGGTACTCCCTTTTCCATCCTGTCTCAGGAATGAACCTGCTGTCTCTGCCACATGGCACCAATGCTACAATGACGGCTCTCAAGAGCGTCGTTCTTCAATGCCTGTGGGCCTGGGAGAATCCAGCCACCTGAGATCTGCAGCCCTGAGGTTAAAAATTGACCTGGAGAACTTCAGCTTGCTATGACTGTTGCTACCTGTGTGTTCTTTCCCATGCCTCAACTTATCCCTTCAAGTGTGTTAAACATCAGTGAAACTGTGTCTTTGTCATGTGATCTGTAATATCCCATCCTCTACCAGACATTCCTGCATCCAACTACGCCACAAACAGGGTTCACCAGCAACCCGGATCCTTTGACAAAGGGGGTTTATAATGTGTATCTCAAAAGAAACATTAACATTCTGTCCAAATGAAAAATCAAGCAGTTTGAGTTCTGAGACTTTGGCTATAGAAATGGAAAAAGCACTTAATGTAATAAATGGAAGTACCTATTCTTTCCTAGACACTGATTTCTTTAGGAGAACACAGGTAGTTCAATAAAAAAGCAAAGTAGTCTTTTCAGATAAAGAAGATTTTATATCCATTCTAAACAGATAATGTAGAGTCCTGAATCAAATATAGGTCTTCTGACTCCAAATCTTCAGGATGCTACATTAGAGAAGGTAAGACATAGTATCTCCCCAGTGCACAGTTCCTCATCTGTAAAAGGAGAAAAATAATCCTAGCCCTTTCTGGGTAGTTAGGAATCCAAATGGGATAATGCATGTAGAAGGCAATTGAAAACAGTACAGTGTGAAGTTACTTGTGAGACATTATGTCAATCACAGAAGGATTAAATAATTTTAAGGATTTAACTTAGGGACTGCAGTAGCATTCAAGGAAGGGTGAGAAGGGATTAATAATGGTTGTAGAAGAATGGAGAAGAGTTCCATGACATCAAGGACCACCTCTTCCTGTAGTTCATTCATTCATTTCAATAATATTGAGCACCTACAACATCTTAACACTGGGCTGGGAGCTGGACATAGTCCCCATCCCCATAGAACTACTTTCTTTCAGGGGAGACAGACATTAAAGAGCTAATTATTATCATTAAAAACCTGATAATGTCTCATAACAATTATGACAGATACTTTGATAGTCTATTAAAGGGGACCTGGAGGAAATCTACTTACAGCAATATTGTAGAACAAAACTTCTAGTATAAAACACCTAGATACGCTACACAGGATATAACAAACATCCCTTTAAATCCAAGTGAGGAAATCCCTAGGGACACACACACACACACACACACACACACACACACACACCCACACCCACACACACACCCCCACACACACACACCCACACCCACACACACACATAAAAGGCAAATCAAAACCAGAATGAAAAGCACAAGCTGATTATTCTGGGGCTGCCCTAAGCAAGGCAAAGTTATAAATTATACGACAATCTATATGAGAAAAAATCAGAAGTATAACTAAAAACATAGAAGTAAGCAAAGATATTTTAAAAAGACACTATCATAAGAGACCAGACATGTTTGAAAAAGTATCAATTGAAATCTACAGAAATAAAAAATTTAGTCATTGATATAAAATCTCAATAAAACGATTAAACAGCAAATTAGACAAAGTTGAAAAGTTAGTGAACTCAAAAAAAATTTGAGAAAATTTCCCAGAATGTCACACAAAGAGATAAAAAAATAGAAAATGTAATGAAAAGGTTAAGAGACATAAAAAGTATTGAATGTATATATGCTATGAGTTCCAGATGGAGATGAGAAGAAAGAATGGAGTAGAGGGCAATATTTGAATGGGATTTTCCAGAATTTATCAAAGACACAAATCCTAAATTTCAGAAATTATGAGTCTAAGCAGGATAAATAGATGAAAAACAGCACCTTATTTACTTGAAACTGCAGAACGATAATGACAAAAGAGAAGACCTAAAGATAATAGGCTCCAGTCGGCTCTGCTGCAACAGGTGGGACAGGCTTGGGAATGCTTCTTCATGGATGCTTTTTGTAAGCTGAGGTGTCAGAGATTAATAGATTTTAACGTGGTGAAATGAGGGGAGAGGGAGATAACAGCAGTCCAGGGAGAGGGAATAGCACATGCAAAGACTCTAAGGCAAGAAACCCTGACACAGTTTAGGAACTAAAAGAACCTAAGTGTTTCTGAACAGGTAATAAAAGAGAGGAAAACTTGATCTGAGATTGGAGACTGACTTACAGAAGGATTTTGTAAAGGATTTTTGTCCTTATTATAAGATCAATGAGAATACATTGAAGAATTTTAAGTAATTGAGAATTAGGAGAATAAAGATTATCTGTAGGAATGTAGATATAATTGAATGTGACCTAATGAAGGAAAACCAGATATTTATCAATCATGCATTTTTGCCTGGAAGAATTTAAAATACTGTTTGTCCAAGTTTAGGCAAAGTTTGAAGGGGATCTAGTGGACAATGCTTGACACAAAGAAATTTTTATCTTGGAAACACATAGAACATCGCCCTAGAAAGGCCCAATTCAGAGAATGAGTTCTTACAGGTCCAAGAACATTAATGATGCTGCAGAATTATAATATACTGAAGGTTTTATCAGTTAAAGACGTCATTTGGTCCAAATACTTGGATGTAAAGTTAAAAAAACTAGGCCCAGAGAGGTGACATGATTCGTACAGAGTACTTCTGCCACTCCATCCCGTACACAGGTGCCTGGAACAAGGTGACAACTCAGAAAATATTCGATGTTTGAGTGGTAGGCACCTAAAACACAAGTCGTCTGACACGCAATTTTCTACTGTAATGAAAGCCACCATTTAGTGAGTGCCTACTAAATGCCATAAGCTGTGGTATGCACTCATGTGCATCATCTCATGTAATTCTCATAACATCCCTACATGTATCATTATCCCCATTTTACAGATGAGGAAACAGAGACACAGAGTTAAGTTATCTGACCAAATTGAGAGAGCTGGTAAGGAAGGAGATAGGATTCAAGCCCAGGCTGTCTGACTTCAGAGCCCACGGCTATAACTTACTCTAACTCTGTACTGAGCTTTCTGACTGACAGAACCATTAAAGTCAGGAGATGGAACTTAGGCCAGATTCTCTGAACCTATTCATGTGGACCAAACACTGACCATCCACTCAGACTTCTGGAGCCCACAGCGTCCACTTACCACTCTGAAGACAAATGGCAATAATGACCACTCACTTTAATGTGCCAAGCCCCCCTCCTTTGAGTAGTAATACTGCTTTTATGGGTTTTGCATGCCCAAGCATTCTTCCTGGAATAAACATTGAAAATTATTTAACTCTATAATAAAGAAAAAAATGTAACTCTGTTCCTTTGCCTATCTGTACAAGGTATCACAAGCATTTATTCATTGTGACAAAAATGAAAAGGAACATGTTTCAAATACAGATCGCTGATGGTTAATCTGCAAGTCAAGAAATATCCAATTAATGGTCAAATACACCCAGCCCTCTCACAGTGCTCCTTTCTCTCCTGTATGACAGCCACAGGGCTTTTTAGTTCACAGACAGAAGAGTAATGTCCATCCTAAGAGAGACATGAGTTTCTGGCCTGAGGAAGTCTCTCTTCTCTCCATGGATCCTACTTCTCATCTCTGCACTAAAAGAGATTGTTGTTTGTGATGGACACTTAGCAACCAATACAAAGATGTTCCAGGAAGCATACCACTGAGAAACAATTACAGAAAATGAGTAACCTCTCCCCTTCCCCTGCCCCCCCCCCACACACACCCCATCCCTCTGCCTCACATGCCCCAAATGGCGCTGTTTTCCCAAGGCATGCTAGTATACCTAAAAGGAAGAATCATGGTAAACCAAGTGCTATAGACACATTACATGTGTGCTCCAGCAATCCCTGACACAGTGATTTGATCCCAGGAAACCATTCTGCATGATGGAGGGAAAAGTAAACAGAAGAATAAAAAGACAGTCATGTTTCCTCTCATGCTGTTAAAAAGGGGCTGATATGTAAGATAGAACTATTGGTTTCTACTCGTATGGAGCAAAAGAAAATGAAGGAAATCAGAGGCTCGAAAAAGAAACTAGTCCATGGGACTAATAGCCCACAGGAACCGCTTCTTCAAACCTGAGACCAGAAGAACTAGATCGCTACTACTACCGACCATTCTGACCAGGGACACAATAGAAGGTCACGGATATAATGGGACAAAAATGTAGAACAAAACTCAAATTCCTACAAAAGGCCAGACCTATCGGACTGATAGAGACGACAGGTACCTCCTAGACTATTGCCTCAGATATCCTTTGATCTTGGAATTGCAGCTATTTCTGCAGGTCACCTTTCAGTCAAATAATAGATTGACATAAACAATATCACCCATGAGTAACATGCCCCTTTAAACAATTAACTATATTAAACCAAACAGTTGACAGTTACCCAAAAGCAAAGATGAGACAGCAAGGAGGGGAAGGGAAGTTAGATCAATGGAAACAGAACAAACAGAATGGAAATAATGAGAACGCTGACACATTGAAAAAATTGTAGCCAATAGCACAGAATAATCTGTTTGAAAATTGTTAAAGGTGAACCTAATTTGCTGGGTAAACTTTCACCTAAAACGCAAAAAATATTATTGAAAAAAAGGAGGGGCTGTTATGTGCTTAAAGATGATCTGGAGGAGGAAATCAATTGTCCTAGAATTGTTTAGAATCATAGAGAATATGACTTTAAAGACTGATCAGCTATTCACGAGTCTGTAAACTCTTTAGAAGTGTTTGTTTATATTACAGTGAGCTGCTTCAGTGTGCTCCAAAAACAAAACCAAACCCGTTGCTGTCGACAGAGTAGAATTGCCTCATAGAGTTTCCTGGTGGATTTGAACTGCCAACCTTTTGGTTAACAGCTGTAGCTGTTAACTACTGCACCACCAGCTTCTCCTCAGTGTGCTCCAGGAGTTGTTAAAAACTTCT